CCAGGACCTCAAGGGTGGCAAGATCAAGTTCTTTGACTTGCCCAGCAAGTCTGTCATCTCCCTGGTGTTTGACCTGGATGCACCAGGGCCCGGAACTCTGCCTGTGGCTGACTGGCAGGAGCCCCTGGCCCCACCTGGTCGCCGGTGGCGTTCTTTGCCTGGTTCACCAGAGTTCTTGCATCGAGAGGCCTGTCCATTTGTGGGCCGAGAAGAATCACTATCTGATGGGCCCCCACCACGCCTCAGTAGTCTCAAGTACAGAGTGAGAGAGATCCCGCCATTCCGAGCATCTGCCCTCCCAGCTGCTCCGGCCCATGAAGCCATGGACTGCTCCGGTCCCCAAGAAGAAAATGGTTTTGGGCCCAGGCCCCAGGGGGCCAGTCCATGCCTTGCAGGTGCCTCTGAAGAAATGGAGGTAGAAGAAGAAAGGCCAAGAGGCTTGGCTCCAGTCCCTTTCTCTGTCTCAGGCATAGGCCTGAAAACCCAGGGAAAACAGGATGGGTGAGAGGGGTTAGTCCCCAGCTCACCTTGAGGGTGGACCTTCCTTTGAAGCCACAGGGCCCCCTTGGTGCACAGCCTTGACTCTTCCCTGCGGCCTATAGAGCAGGCAGGCCAGGCCAAGCCAGGGTCAATCTGGGGGCTCCAAGTGCCCAATGGCTGTGTATGGGGGGGGGCAGCAATGAAAGCCCTTCCTAGTTAGGGCCAACAGCTGATACAAAGCTTCTGAAATCCAGCAAGGAGCTCTGGCTCCCATCCGACTCCCAGTGCACTTCCCCAGACAGGACCAGAGGACTCCTAGTTCTAGTTTGAGCTGGCAGGCAGCTAATACCCCAGGTTCTTCTCCCACCCCAGGTCTATCTTTTGCCCTTTCCTGGGTCATATAAGCTACTGGATGGAACCTGGAGCTAACAAGGAAGCCATAAAAGGCATGGCTATTTCTCAGACCTAAAGACCGGGGAGCTTCTTGCCAGGACGTCTAAGACACTTGAATAATTGCTGTTTGCACTTACTGCATGGTCAGACCACGTTACTTTATTTTCTATGCAAGGGGAGGGTGAGGCAGCGTGGTGGTCATGGCTCTTAGCTAACCTATTCAAAAATCTTTTCCAGTTGATTAATCTATTTTCATATTTATGAAGGAGTCTTAATGTTTTGCCCCATAAAACTTTCAACTTTGTGGTTGGGAGTGGGGCTGGTTTTGTAGGCCTCAGGGCCTGCTCTATGTATTTGTCAACATGTGATACACTCAGTTGGTTAAATGGTTTATACATGGACTGATTTTCTTCCTTTCCTGCTATGGCTGGAGCTGTGGGAACAGTCTGTTCTTACAGAGCCGCGATAAGAAATAACCAAAGATGAAGCTGGTCAAATATTTTCATAACTTGTTTCTGTTGATTTTTTGGTAATACTTTTTCCGAAGACACTTTCAGATTTAAAAATAAAGTCTGTTACAAGTGCTGGTCAGCCTCCTTACATGTACCCTTGTTCCTCAGCCTTCAGGGTAAAGGAGAAGGTCCAGGCCAAGACTGCCCCCACCCCTACCCCCCAATTCTGTAGAAGGTAGGAGTAGGACATTCACAGGCTAGAGGGACCCAGACACCTCTGTGCCATTCTCAGCCCTCTTCCTGCGCCTTGAGTGCTAGGCAGAAGTTGGGTCAGCTGCTGCCCCAAGCCAGCTTCATCTTCTGGTTGTGGGCTTTGGAGGATCGGGAGAACTGGCTCTTGGCCACTGTGAGGGGCACAGCTTTGCCACTCAGGTATACCTTGTTGTGGCATTCAGGTAGCCAGGGTCCAGAGCTACAGAGCTGGGGTCCTTGGCTCACACCCACATAGGCCATCACATAACCTGTCATAAAGGCATCAAAACCAGCCCGATGCAGTCCATCCCCAGGCACTGGGTGAGGACCGGCTTGATTCCCTGGCGCTTCTGAGGCAGCCGTATCAGAAGTTTCCGGCCCTGCTGCTTTAAGCCCCAGCTCCAAGTCATTTTTGTGACCTTGCTCCAAGCCAGGCTGGCTCCTGGTCTCATCCTTAGCCACCTCCTGCTCAATTTCTTCAGCCTGGAGGCCATCCCCGCAGACCTGCTTCACGGGAGGACAATCCTCATTTTCCTCAGAGGTCTGTTTCCCAGGCAGGCCCAACAAAGCCCTCCGCCGTTTGTCCCTACGTCGCCGCCGTCGCCGCTTGTCCTCCACCACAGCCTCATCGGTGTCAATGATAAGATCGATATCATGGGACCGAGGACACTGTGGTCCCAGGGGACACCAACCGTAGGCCTAGAGGTAGGAAAGAGACTTAGAGAGGGGGTTCCAGGCATCAGGAACCTGCCCTCCCCCAAGGAATGGGCAGGTGCTCTCACCGAAAAGTTGTCACAGACGCTGGTGGAATGAGGACGGTGGGTTGCAGGGGGCATGCAGCAGCGGTAGTCAATATGGGCCCCCATGCTAGACGGGTAGCTGCAGAACTCCAGGGTCAGGTGCGGGCCGCCAGCTGCCCGCTGCTTCCCATTTTCCCGCTCGCTGAAACAGCAGACGAGGGTGTTGGTCCATAGCTTATATACTCCATGGGAATAGGGTTTTTTGTCAGTTCTGCTGACTGCTGAGTCCTCAGCACTTAACACAGTGCCCGGCACATGGCAGGCACTCAATAAATACCTTAAGTAAATGAAATAGGCTTATACCAGGCCCCACCCCTAAGCCTTAACCAGTTGCTCACCATTTCCGGAAAGCATATTCTAGGTAGGAGGCCACGAAGCGCACATGAAACTCAGCAGCATATTTGGTGTCATAAATGCCGGCTGGGAACATTTCACACAGGTCAGCAGTGAAGGTTCCCAAGCTCTCGGGCAGGTGTGCGTAGAAGTTCTGGTACAGGAACACCAAGTCTATAAGACCATTGTGTAGTACCAGGGGCCGACGGGCCCGGATTAGCTCCAGGAACAGGGTCCTCACTGACTGGCTCTGACTCTCATCGCCCTGGGTGGAAAGAAAGGGGTCACTGGGAAGGACAGCCCCATAGGGAGCCTCTCTTGCAGGACACTTATCCCCGGGTGCCCCTATCTGGAAAGCTCTCGCTCCCTGCCTTCCCAATGCTAGTCTTCTGTGGATCAGGCTTGTTTCCCCAGCCCTATCCCTAGTGATTTCCCATCCTCCCTAAGAAGCAGACCCTCCCACTGCACCCAGCCTCGGTTGGGAAGAAATAAAATCACAGGAGGGGCAGTCTCAAGGCTGGAGACCTACCTTGTCATTGCCCTTGTGGTACGGGATACCCTGAGCATACTGCCGGTTGAAGTTGAAGCCATGCTGAACCAAGAACTGTACAGACTTTGGTTCTATCACATATTCTTCCATGCACAGCAGGGTCAGATTGAACACCTGAGCCAGGTAGGAGTGTTCACCCTGAGAGAGAAAGGATCTGCTCCCTCGGGATTCGGGATAGAAACACCTTACACCCGATGTTCTCCAGGATCTCAACCCTCTTTCCCCCTAGCCACAGACCAGGGATAGGAAGGAGACCAGTCCCTACCTTGTCTAGCTGCTGCTTGAAGCAGGCAAGGCCCAGGGAGAGAACAGAACGGGTCCTGGCCGCATGACACACGGACTTGTAACGTTCCTCGATGCACCTTGGGGTTGGGTTTAGGGGGTGGCTGTGGCTGGGAGTTAGCCCTCAAACCACCCAGGACTGTGACTTCTACTCCAGGGATGAGGTCTGCCCCTCCTGCCAAGGTTGGCACTAAGATCAGGGCTCATACTTACTGGTTCAGCAAACTCTTCCTGTCCCCAAGCCCACTCAGTTCCTGGGAGTGTGTAAAGGGAGTTTTGTTTTAGGTTCCCAGCACCAGCCCTTTCACAACTATCTGCCCTCCCCATCCCCCAGCCCTCACCGTGTCCACAGCCACGAAGCTAGCGGTCTTTATGGCCAGCAGGAGGGACGGCCACATCTCCTTGAAGTTGTCACTCTGCACATCCACCACGGGCACCTGGACTACGAGCTCCTCCTCAGATTTTGTGCTTTTGCTGACACCACCTGAGGGTAAGGAGAGCGATGGATGGTAATGCTGAGGCAAAGGCCCAGGGGAAGAGATTCCAAGGTAGGCCATGGCTGGGGGTGGAATGTTGGGGGGCAGTTTCCATTAAGGCAAGAAATAGCATCTCTCTCCTGCATGCCTTTGTATCATACGTGCTCTACGCACAGGCCTTGGAGTGAACAGTGCCCTGAATTTGGGGAGAGAAAGCTGGCGTCTTCCAGTGGTTTATATGAGACTTTGGGAAAATTACTTCTCCCCTCAGCATCACAATCTTTAGAGGAGGAAGGCTGGACTAGACGATCTGTGAGGTTCCTTCTTCCCACATGCCGCAGGAAATCCTTCTCAGGGCTTAAGGAATGCAACTCTTTTAATACCCCCCAAAGCTCCATAGTACTGTTCCCACGGGGCCCCAGGAGCCACATGCGGCGCTAACCAGTACGCCCCAGGGCCTCATAAATAATTCCTCACACCCAAGCTCCCAATCCATTCCACTTCCTTCAGACCCGCGCCACTTAACAGAACCACGAACTCTAGACTACACCTCCCGACACGCCCCTACCGGCCCCGACTGCTCCCAACACGCCGGGCTTGGGCGCCCGAGCCGCAGTGCCCAGCGGGATTTGTAGTCTCCTCGTGGCTGGTTCAGAAGGAATGAGCTAGTCCTCTGAACGTTGAGATCAGTTTCTAGAGCCGAAAGCCCGAGGCCTTCCCCCGCTCCGGAGCGCACAGGGTTTTAAGCCGGGAAGCCCTGGGAGGCCACTCACCGTCAGGGGCCGCTGGGGCTGAGGCTGCGCCATCGCCACTGTCGGCGGCCATGACACGGCGCGCCCCTCGCTTGAGTAGTTGGTGAGTACGCCGGGCTTCCGCTTCTCTCCGCGCGGCTCCGGCGGTCGGGGACGGGGCGGGGCCTCGCCCGCCGAGTCGCCGACGGGTCGGACTTCCGTTCACACCTCCCGGGTCTGGCGCGGAGGAGGCGGCCGGGCGCGCGCGGGGACCTATTGGCGGGCGCCGTGCGGGTCGGAGCCACGCCCCCTGGAGTGCGTCGGGAGCCGGGCGCGGGAGACCGAGCGGGAGGTAATTCCTTCTCCGCGTTCTCCGGGCGGGAACATGGGCGGCCGCTTCGCGCGGTCTTCATCCACGCGGCCCCGGGGTGGGGGTCCCCAGCGGAGGTGACGCTACCTCAGCCAGCCTGAAGCGCGCCTAGGAGTTTACGCACAAACAGGGCAGTGTAGGGGAAAGAAGGATATTCTGGGTATAGGCACATTCACAGGCAGGATGGAGACCTCACTCACTTCCAGGAAGTGAAAAGGCGGGGAGAGGAACTCGAGAGAGGCTGCCAGAGGGGTTAGAGTCACCGACTGGCGGGGAGGCCTTTACAATAATCCAGGCAGGAGGGGTAGTTGACTTAGAGGGTGATTGCACTTGACTCCTGATACCCTGAGAGACATGCCCTTACCGGAGGCCAGTTCTTTTTCAAGGACTCCGGTTCCCATCCTCTCGACCCACCAAGGAGTTTCAACCCTTTCTCCTTGAGTATTTATTCACTGTTTCTAGTTCGTCTTCAACCTTTCTCTCTCCACTGAGTCTTTTTCATTATTTTGGATGGTTTAGATTTCTACCATTCTAAAGAAAGAAAACCTCTTACTATTTCTTCTCTCATCCGGTTTTAATTAACTTAACAGTGCTTGTTGTATGCAAATTACCTGGCACTGTGCTCCGCTCTGGGGACTCAACAGTCAACAAAAAGACTCAGTCCGTGCTCATGGAGTTCTGTAGTCAAGTCGGGGAGGTGGACACTGATAAAAGAAACATAAATAAATGTGAAATTACAATTAGTATAAGAGGAAAATGGAGAATTATACAAGACGGTGAGACTGGGAGAGGGGGACTGATTTGGACATTTAAGTCAAGACCTGAAAGAATGAATAAGTGTTAGGTGAAGCACAGGATAAGAGAGGTACAAACTACAGCTGTACGAGAAACGGATTGGGTGAGATGTCACAGCCGACAGGTGGGGGGTTGAAGCAACTATTTAGGCAAACATGGCTGGAGCGCAGTGAGTGAGGGGATGAGGCAGGTGGGGGTCTTTGGAGCCTACAAAACTATATTAAGAGGATTGAGTTCTCAGAGCAATGAATGGGAGAGCCAAAGTCCTCCAGCGGCTTACAAGGTACTTAGTGATCCTTATGCTCCCTACCTTCTTTACCTCTTTGACCTCATCTACTCATCCTTTCTTGGTGCATTCTAACCACACCGGCTTCCTTATTGTTCTGCAGACACACCAGGCACCTTCCTTAGGGCCATTGCACTAGCTCCTTTTTAGGATGCCTTTGGCTAATTCCTTCAGTTGCCTTAAATCATGGGTCAAATATCACTTTAATATTAAAGGCCCACCTTGACCATGTGCTTTAAAATTGCAACATTCCAGGTGGCTCATTTGGTGAAGCGTCTGCCTCCCGCTCACATCATGATCCCAGAGTCCTGGGATCAAGCCCCGCATCGGGCTCTCTACTCAGTGGGGAGCCTGCTTCTCCCTCTCCTGCTGCTCCTCCACTTGTGCTCTCTCTCTCTGTCAAATAAATAAATAAATAAAATCTGTAAAAAAAAATAAAGTCGCAACATTCCACCATCACCACTCCTTATCCCCTTCACCAACTCTACTTCTTCTCTTTATGTTAGTATTTATCACTTAACATCCTATTTAATTTAATTATTATTGTTTGCCCTCCCCCATTAGACTATAGGCTTCCTGATGACAGGAACCTTTGGTGTTTTATTTACTGAAGTATTCTACGTACTTAAAACTGCTTGGCACATAGGCACTACATAAATAGTGAGTGAGTGAATTAGTAGGAAGCCACTGAAGGTTTTAAGTAAGAAAATAACAATAATGTTTTGAAAGACTGCTACTCTTTGGAGAATAGATGGTAGAGTGAATTATGGAATTAGGGAGTTTGGTCAAAGAGGGTTGGCTATGAAGGGAAGGAGAGTGGGTTTTGTAAAAGGGATTAAGGAGCAGGAACTTGAGCTCAGCCGATTTAGGAGAGACCATTGTTTCATATCACAAGGAAGGAGAAGGAGAATGCAGAGAAGTGCAGAGTGCAGTAAACTTATGCATTCACTTTTTTTCTCTGAAGGAGGAAACAAGCTCTTTTGATGAAAATGAGGTGATGAAGTCAGGTTTTAAGGAAGGAGGTTGAGGACGCCTGGGTGGCTCAGATGGTTAAGCGGCTGCCTTCGGCTCAGGTCATGTTCCCAGGGTCCTGGGATCGAGTCCCGCATCAGGCTCTCTACTCCTTGGGAGCCTGCTTCTCCCTTTGCCTCTCTCTCTCTGTCTCTCGTGAATAAATAAATAAAATCTTTAAAAAAAAAAAAAGGAAAGGAAAGAGGTTGAACCGGGGGCTCAGCAGTGACTGTGGTGTAGCACAGCACAAGAGTGCAGTCTCTGGAGGCAGGCCTTTTGGGTTTGGGTGGACAAGTTGCTTCATCTCTGCAAGCCTCAGCTTCCTCCTAACTAAAATGGAGGTGATACTAGCATATACCTAATGGAGTTGTCTGGAGATTGAGTAAGAAATTGGTATAACACTTAGCACAGAGTCTGGCATATAATAAGCCCTCACCAACTTTTTAGTTATTTGAGAAAAGGGCACCAAGAGAACAGTAGGGAGCAGTGAAGATCAACCAGATATATTTCACATTACCAATGGGCAGCCAGCTTTGGTTTACCAGATCAAGAAAAGATTAGGAATAAAAATAGCACATCTGCTCCCCCCCCCCCCCCAACTTGCCATCTGCTCTCAGGCAAATCTTTTCCCATCTCTGATCCTTGGTTTCTCCTCTCTGTAGAATGGAGGTTTGGACTCCATGACGGCTCAAGGCTGTTTCATGTGCTGCATCTCTACCAGATAAACTTCCTACCTGCCCCGTGCTTCTAGACACACGTAATGAACCCCTGTCCCTACACACAGTCACAGTGAGCATCCAGGATACACAGGTATATCCAGCCCAGCCCTGGCCTCTTCTTTTGTGGGTCTCCAAGATTATGCTCCACTGGTCATACCTCAGTGCCACAGCCAGCCAGGGGCAAACCCATGAGCATCTGGAGGGTGAGGAAAGCTAGATTTCTATAATGAGGGTTGTAGAGAAGGAGGTGGCTGTCTATATTCGTTGTGGGGCCCCAAGATTCAGCCTCATGGTGACTGACTACTTTGGGCCTTTCCCTTCTAGGCCATCATGAAGAAGCCACGAACAGCTATGAAGAGTCATCAGAAGAAGCGGGCACCCTGCCAGGAGGGAAGGGAGAAGCGTGTCCTCTGCGGCCGCCAGGTCAAGCCTTCTACCCCCAATGGTGAGGAGCGCGGTGCTAGTCAAAGATGAAAGTGCTGGATTCAGTGGCCATGAAAGGGAGGGAGATTCGGGCTGGGAAGGGAACGTGGTATGTGTCAGGGCCTTAAGGGACTAATTAAGGGTCTCATTCTGACTTTGCCCTGTAACTTTGGGACAATTGCTCTGAGTGGCTGCTTTCTTACCAGTGAAATGGAGCGATTGTCTGTGCATTTCCTTCCTCCTGTGGCTTTCATGGGATCGAATGAGTTTATGAGGCTGAAAATGTTTTCTAAACGGGAAAGCCTTGCACACGTATACATTATGCTTGGCTGAAATTGTTGGGTTTTCATTGTGACCCAGACTCAAAGGAGGTAGCGGTACCACCCTGGCCAAGTTAAGGCCAGAAATCTGGCTCAGGTTACACAGAGCTAGAGAATTCCGGTCTGACTCCAGGTCCAAAGCTTAAGCAAGGGGTTGGGGGGGGGCGCCCTCCGTGGGAGCAGCCAGGCTGCAGTGCCCCGGGTAACCTGGTGCACAGCCTGTGCAGGGACAATGCCTGAGTTTCCTGCAGCCCCAGCAGACTTGGCCAGGCGGAAGGAGGGGGTGCTGGTGCAGGCGTCTCTCTCCCCGTACCATCTCTTCAGAGACACAGCTGACATCATAGTCTTTCGGGAGAACCTACTGAGCTGGTACGACCGAGAGAAGCGGGACCTACCCTGGAGAAGGCGGGTAAGCAGGCGAGGGCCAGGGACAGTGGGGTGGGAGGTCGGTGCCCAGCTGTCTCCATACTAACTCCTTACCTGGGATTGCTTTGGCAGGCAGAGGGTGAGGTGGATCTGGACAGGCGGGCATACGCTGGTGAGTGCATGTCTTGGGAGCACGCCTGCTTTGCCTGGACGCCCACTGGTCTGGGGTCCAGGGGCTGTGTGCTGGGAGCAGAGCAGCTCGGCAGTGCCCTCATGCCTACCCCTCTCCCCCAGTGTGGGTCTCAGAGGTCATGCTGCAGCAGACCCAGGTTGCCACGGTGATCGACTATTATACCCGATGGATGCAGGTGACTTCAGGGAAGGAAGGGGAGGGTCATGAGCCAGACCCCAGAGAGAGTTTAGCCTTGGGGTGGGGGGTAAAGAAGGTCTCTTCCACCTCCCTTGACCTTGATCTTACTTCTTTTTGATGGCCTTCGAGCTGTAGAAGTGGCCAACGCTGCAGGACCTGGCCAGTGCTTCCCTGGAGGTAAGAGTCACCCTGGGGTAGGGGGAAATGGGGACAACTGAGGACTGACCACTGATCTCTCTGATCTCACCCACAGGAGGTGAACCAGCTCTGGGCGGGCCTGGGCTACTACTCTCGAGGCCGGCGGCTGCAGGAGGGAGCCCGGAAGGTAAGGGGGTGAGGGGGTGACAGGTAAGGGGGTGAAACCCAGGGCCTCAGGTGTCTCATAACATAGAGCCCCCCCCCCAAATCAGGTGGTAGAGGAGCTAGGGGGCCATATGCCACGTACAGCAGAGACCCTGCAGCAGCTCCTGCCTGGTGTGGGGCGGTACACAGCTGGAGCCATCGCTTCCATTGCCTTCGGACAGGTGAGTCTTAGCCCACCCCCCCTTGGTGTGTGCCTGCCCTCCTTCCTCCCGGAGCCGGCTGACTCGTGGATTCCTCTGTGCCAGGCAACTGGTGTGGTAGACGGGAATGTAGTGCGGGTGCTGTGCCGAGTCCGAGCCATTGGTGCGGATCCCAGCAGCACCCTCGTCTCCCAGCTTCTCTGGTAGGGTCTTGGGGTCCTGGGGAGACTGGCAAGGGGGTCTCCAAAGTGTCTTTGGCTCACAGCCACATTCCCTTGTAGGAGCTTAGCCCAGCAGCTGGTGGACCCGGTGCGGCCTGGGGACTTGAACCAAGCGGCCATGGAGCTGGGGGCCACAGTGTGCACCCCGCAGCACCCGCGCTGCAGCCAGTGCCCTGTGCAGAGCCTGTGCCGGGCACACCAGAGGGTGAGCCATCCGCGGAAGGGGCAGGCAGGGGTCCTAGACGGTGACCCCTGGCGCATGACGTCTGCCTCGTGCCTCTCAGGTGGAGTGTGAACGGCTCTTGGGCTTACGGAGCCCGCCGGGCAGCCCTGACGTGGAGGAGTGTGGTGAGCGCCAGCCCCAGCCCTGTACCGCGCCGTCACTGCAGTTTATCCTCCGAGTTGAGTAAGACCCTACAGAGCTGGGCCATTGCCTGCTCCCTGGGCCTGAGCGGCGCTTGGGGATCTCTCTTCCCAGCTCCTGACACGGGGCCATGCCAGCTCTGCGCGCCTCCCACGGAGCCCTGGGACCCAACCCGGGGAGTGACCAACTTCCCCAGAAAGGCCGGCCGCAGGCCCCCCAGGGAGGAGTACTCTGCCACCTGTGTTCTGGAGCAGCCCGGGGCCCTTGGGGGTCCTCGGATTCTGCTGGTGCAGAGGCCCAGTTCAGGTACCTAGATCGCCGGAGTGGAGGGCGGTGGCAGGAGCAACAAGGGGGAAGCGGAGGAGTCGGCGGCTAAGGCCTGGCCACACCTGGCTGTCCTCTCTCTCAGGGCTGCTGGCAGGACTGTGGCAGTTCCCGGCTGTGACCGCGGAGCCCTCAGGGCCACAGCAGCGCGAGGCCCTGCTGCGGGAGCTGCAGAGCTGGGCTGGGCCCCTCCCAGCCCCCCGCCTCCGGCACCTCGGGCAGGTGCGTGAGCCGCGGGAAGTGCAGGGGTGTGGCTTTTGTGGGCACATCCCTGGGCCTGTTTCAGCCCCTTGGCCCTCCCTCCAGGTGGTCCACACCTTCTCTCACATCAAGCTGACCTATCAAGTATACGGTCTGGCCCTGGAAGGGCAGACCCCGGTGACCGTCGTGCCGCCTGGTGCTCGCTGGCTGACCCGCGAGGAGTTTCACACGGCAGCTGTCTCCACCGCTATGAAAAAGGCACTGACTGTGTGGTCTTCGTTGTACTTTTTTGGGGTTCCTGTGTGTTCTACGTGAACCTATTACCAGGAGAAAACAAAAGCGTATTTTAAACAGATGTGTGGGGGTGTGAAGTTGAGGAGAGACCACAGGGTTTGGCTCTTTGGGGGAAGGTGCCAGCCCTGCACTCTCCCCCTCTCTCCTTGGCCAGGTGTTCCGTGTGTACGAGGGCCAGCAGCCAGGGACCTGCAAGGTGAGTCTCTTGGCCCTCCCCCAGCCATCTTTCCCCAGGCCCGAATCCCCGGGTTTTCAGTGAGTTAAATGACACATGCTTGGGTGAACATTATCCACTCCACACTTGGCGGTGGGGAGAGGAATAATAGTTCTTCCCTGGAGACCTTAGAGCTTGGAGGCCAGGGTGGTGAGGGAGTAAGAACAAATGGTGGAGACAGTAGGGCCCCAGGTGTGCGAAATGCTTGTACTCGGTTTTGTGGCTTATGAGGTGGAGAGCTTTCATTTCTGTCTGAGAGGCAAGGATCAGGAAGGGCCGCTTAGAAGAAATAGCTGGTGATCTGCATGGAAGAACCGAACCATTACTTCCAGGTTTGGGAGGGGAGTCCGCAGTAAGAATGTTCTTCCCGGGCCCAAGAGTCATGTGGGCAATGCTGGCATAATGCGGCCAACTTCATAATGCATCGTGCGAGGAGCTGGGCGCATTTGATGAGCAGGGCCTGCGCAGGCCAGTCAGGGCCATGAACGCCAGGCCGCTAAAGGATTTTGGGTGGAGAGAGGAGTCCGATTTGTATCTTAGGAAGACTACCTTGGGCTGCCATGTTGACCGAAGACGTAGATACTGGAGACTGGTTGGAAGCTTTACAACATTCAGACTAGAACCTGAGCTGTATTAGTGGAGTGGAGAGGGGGCGGAAGGAGAGGACTCTGCTGCCCCCTTAGTGCCTCCTTTCTTTGGCTTCTGCACAGGGTTCCAAAAGATGCCCCATGTCCACTCCATCCAGCCGGAAAAAGCCCAGCCCAGGCCAGCAACTCCTGGATAGTTTCTTCCGGCCTCACATCCCGACGGATGCATCCAGCCTCAACAGTACTGCCCAGTGACACCTCTGGAAGCCCCCACTTCTGAGAATCCGGTTTTTTAATAAAGTGCTTATTTTTATAGTCATTTTGGAGACTTTCCACCCCCTCCCTAGCCCACTTGTTCTTCCCCTCGGAGGGACCCAGAAAGTGGTAAAGTCCTGCTTGGTGCTGACTTCCACTGCATGAGCTCCCAGCCAGCCCCAGGCAAATGGAGGTGGGTGTTCTGTCCAGAGTGATCTGTCCTCCCCCAACCCTCAGGAGAGAGGGAGAAAGCAGCCGCAGAGGGCCCCTGCCTGTGGCTGACACCCAACACCCTTGGTCCAGATCTCTGGTCAGCTCTGACTAGAGCAGTGGTATTGTCCTACAGCAGGTGGTTGGGCTCAGCCCTGACCCAACCCCTCCCCACCTGCAGAGGCTGCTCCCTAGGGAGAGGGGAAATGGGAGGATTTGTTCTGTCTTAAATTCCTACCTCAAATACTAAATTTATTTCTCTATTGTTTCATACGTAGTGAAATAACAGAGCAAATCAAGGGGTTAATAGTAAAATTGGGGGATAGGGTGGAGAGAAATGGGATCAGAGAAGGTTACAAAGATGGTTCAAAAGTATTGGGAAGTTCTATTTCCTAATTATGTAATTCCTTTATTATTCTTTATATCTTGCATATATATTAGTTATAGACAACGTAAGAACATTTCATAGTTCAAAACAAAACAAAATCCCACCTCTTTGGACCCCAGTGAGAGCGTCAAGTTCTCGTAGGCACCGAAGAGATGGTGCCCCTGGGGACAAAGCACCCCAAGCCTCTGCAGGTGTTTCTCAGTTCAGCTGGCCCGGTGCTCCCCAGCCCCAGCCCTCCTCAGGCTTCCGGGTCCCTGGCTGCTTGCTCCTGCACCGACTGCCACAAGGCCCGGATGTTGCCCTGGCCAAAGCCTGTGGCCCCCTGCCTCTGAATCAGCTCCAGGAAGAAGGTGTCCTCTGGAAAGAGAGACTTGGTGAAGACCTGAAGCAGAAACTTGCCTTCATCACCGTCCAGCAGGATCCCCTGTCGGGCCAGCACGCTAGGGTCATGCCCAGCAGCTAGGATCTGCCTCTCCTTGCCCGGCTGCTGGTAGTATGCCTCAGGAGGAGCCAGGAGCCGGCCCCCAGCCACTGCTACCCCCTCACTGGCTTCTACGATGTTCGGCGTGTAGAGCCCCACGTGCTGCAATCCTGGTCCCCTGTGCCGGGCCAGGAACTGCTCCACCTGGTCCCGTCCACTAGAAGCCCCCGGCAGGGTCTCAGCCAGCACGAGGGTGGGGACAGCACTGCCTGGGGGGGTCTGCAGGGCGGTGAGCTTCAGTCCCCCTCGCCCAGATCCTGCTGTCACCTCGAGGCCCATCTCTGGATCCTCACCTGGACTCAGTGGCAGGTGGCGAAAGTCTAGACAGTCGTAGAACCAGTGCATCAGTGTGGAGGAGCTGCCAGGGGTGCAGGCCAGGGTCAGGTGGTCCACGTGGCTGACCCAGCCCGGGCTGGCTGCAGAGGCCATAGGCTGGAAGCCCGGGAGGAAAGGCCCTCGGAAGTCGGCACGCTCCAGGAGTGTCAGGCTGAGGTTGCCGGCGGGCGAGCTGACCACAGCGTAGGTGGCTGTGCCCTGCGTATCCTTCACGCTAACCGGGGGCACCGGCACGCTGCAGCCCCGCGCGACCAACGCCCGGGCGGCGGCGCCCGCGTCTGCCACGTCGAAGCACAGGTTGGTGGCGCTGGGCACAGCATGACGTGGGTCCAGGCCGTACAGCGGCTCCCGCGGTCCTGCGCCCTCGTTCACCAAAAAGACCGCGTCGCCGCTGCGTAGGGCCAACTGCCGCCAGCCTTCTGCTTCCCGCATTGCCAGGGGCTGGAATCCGAAGAGACGCTGCAGATCCTGGGTGAGGGGCTGCCCCGCGGGCACATGGAAGGCAATGTGGCACAGACGACGGGCATGCACGGCCATGGCGGTCCGGATGGGGACCCTGGCTTGTCCTTCCCCTACCGCCGCTCACCTGTCTTTTCAGGACTCCCGGACTCTCCGTCCCAGGTTTGTCGTCGGAAGCCTGTGGAGTCCAGTTTGCCCCCAGAGCGCGTTCCTCGCTCTTTTCCAAGAAGTCACAGACCGACCCCTGTGGGGCTCGCGGTTCTCCCGGCCACACCCTCTCCAGCCCGGAGCTGCGCGGCGACCCCCCCCCCCGCCCCCGCGCCCGGGTCTGCGCGGCGGGTGGTGAAAACCACGTGGAGCCGGAGCTAGGGTGGAGCCGGAGAGAGGGGGCGGTGCCAGTGACTGCGGCTCGCACTCTCCCCCTCCCAACCCAGACGCTGTCGTGAAGGGTACGGCGGGGACGCAGGACTGCCCTTTCCCAGAGCCTCTGGATGGGCCATGCCCCAGCCGCCACACACACACCGCCCACGGAGATCACAGTAGCTGCCTTCACTCGGTGCCAGGCTTTCTTTCGTTCCCTAAACTGAGAGCTGGGGGAGGAGCCAGGATTCCTAACCCCCTACCCCCGCCCCCGCCCCAAGCACAGAATTTTTTTTTTTAAAGATTTTATTTATTTATTTGAAAGAGCGAGAATGAGAGAGACAGAGAGCACATGAGAGGGGGGAGGGTCAGAGGGAGAAGCAGCCTTCCCGCTGAGCAGGGAGCCCGATGCGGGACTCGATTCCGGAACTCCAGGATCATGACCTGAGCCCAAGGCAGCCGCTTAACCAACTGAGCCACCCAGGCGCCCCCAAGCACGGAATTTCTTACCAATGTCATGTTCTAGCTTAAAAAGAGAATTTTGCCTTTGACTCGTAATGTTCCTTTAAAACTTTGAAAAATATTAAAATGTTTTAAGTTACAGATTTTCTTTCCTCCCCAAATTGGTCCAGAGAAACTGATGTTATAGGAAGATAGGTTATTTGCACGGCTCCTACAAACCTCTCTCCTTTCCTCCTTTCTCTCTGCCAGTCTCTCAAGTGCACCTATCTCTTTCTTCAACCCCACTTCTCTCTCAACAATCTTTTGCCCCCTTGTCCCAAGCGAGATTTGGAGAAAAAACTGATGGCTCAGGACCGGAAAGAAACAGCAGCATTCGTGTCCTTTCCCACCTTCCTGACCCTGTAGGACTAGAACTCAAGCCCTCCTTGAAGCTTCCTGACTGGGTATTGGGCCAGAGGAGCTTTCCAGTGAGATCACTGGATTGAGGAAAGTAGAAGTCTTCTGAGACTTCAACGGTGGCTCTTGGAGGGTTTGGGAAGGGGACTTCAAGAAGGGTAAATGGCATAAGCAAAAAGGCCAGTGAAGAATATGAACCAAACCCTCAGAGGAGCAATAGAGCATAAGGTTGGAGACATTTGAGATGGATGCTATGGTTCCAGGCATTGCAAAGGACATTCCTTTGTCAGGGAATCTGATATAATACCATTCAGTATTACATCACTGGCAAGTTCACTGGCAAGAGGAAGAAGGATGTGATGGAGAGACAGGCTGCGAAAAAGAGGCCTGGCTGTGTGTTCAGTCTTGCAGCCAGAAGGCAGTACCCAGAAACTGATCAGCGGTGGTAAAAGGCACTTGGTGCTACTCTGCAGACTAGTAAATTGGAGAACATGGGTTCCAAAAGCCAGATAGACCTGGGTTTGAAAACTACCTCCAATATTTAGTAAGCTGTATGAGTCGGGGCAAGTTGCTTACCTTCTCTGAGGCTGTTTTCTCCTCTGTAAAAAATGGGAATAATAATAGTACCTACTTCAAAGGGTTGTTGTGATTAAATAAGATGGTATATGCTGCAGCCTGGCCAGGGGTCCAGGATTTAGCCTGTGAACCAGGGCCCAGCTATGTGGGCTCAGGGCATACAAAGTGGGTTTGTATGTCACAAGGAGAGGGGCTGCAGCAGGACTCAGAATAACAACCACATTCGGACTCCTCCTAGGAGACTTGAGCACCGGGAAGGCTCTGGGAAGGCCCTGGCTTTGGTGTGGATTCTGGGGGAAGGGCCCCTGGGAACAGGGCTCTGTGAGGGCTGGGGCAGCATAGGCTTCTGTCCCCACTATCATGGTCAGGGCCCCAGGTGAGCAGCTCTAGTGCCTCCAGGCCTTTAGTCCAGCCAAGGGGGTTTCCACTCAAGGGCCCTATCTATGGATAGAGGGAACGGAAACCGGCCCCCTGACCCATCACTTCCCACCTGCTCCTGAGGGAGAGGGTAGATTTCTAAAGGCCAAGTAGGGTCTGACTTCAGGAAAGGGAGATCTTGGTTAGGGCATATTGTCCTGTCCTGTCCCCCACTGTGCTTGACCTTGACCCAGAACGCAGGCTGGACTCTTCAGAGGCCAGCTAGGGGGGTGGGGGTAGAGGTGGTCATTGATGTTGGTCTCCCTCCAAGCCAGATTCCCAATTCCTGCTGCCCTTCTGGCATCTGGGCTGTGACCAATGTGGGGCCCCCGTCTCCGAGCGGTCGGGACCCTGGGGGCACTTTCGCAAGATGGCGTCCTCCGTGCCTGGCCGCAACTGACTTATTGCTGGGGCTAGGGATGCTGAGGGTGGACGCTGGAGGGCACGCAGGTCCGAGGGCTGAGGCGATGGCGCTGCAGGCCTCCTGCCACATCTGCCTTCCACAGCGGCCAGGTCAGCGGAGGTGTAGGCGGGGGCTGTGGAGTCCTGTGCAGGTCCTGAACCTCTGGAACCACGTCCCTTCTGCGGCTCTCAGCCTAAGCCCGGGGGCTGGCGGACGTGCACTCCTCTCTCCGAAAACCCTGAGCCCAACCCCTATTCCGCCTCTCCTCTCCCGGCCCGAAATGGCTTTCCTCTCCCGGAACTCGCGCCTCTCAGGCCCCGCCCCCCCTTCCTTCCCTCCTGGGCCAGGTGGGTGATTATCAGTGGCTGTTTTTTTTTTTTCCCCCAAACGTGACCTCTAGGTGTCACCCTTAGCCTCAGCTTAACCTGCCCCTCCCGCGCTCCTTCCCTCTCCCCTTCTCGTGGAGGCGGCTCCAGACGCTTCCGCCTTTCTCGCCCAGCCACTGCCCGGTCTCCACCTGATTCCGTTTCTCTCGTACCTAGTCCGTGGAGGGCTTGACATTTTACAAAGGGTGGC